TGGCCAATAAAATCTCTTAAAATCTTCACTATAACCTTATAGCAAAGTTGAGGTCTAGGACATAGAGTTCGTTATAACAAGAGTTGACTGTATATAATTTATTTTTATAAGACCTTTCAAAATAAAAAATTGATTTTATATTTTATTATCTTATAATAATTTCTTTTTTATATTAAATAATATCATTTCTAAAGCTTTATAAAGTAAAAATGACCATTCAAATTGAATTAATAAATAATAAATAAATTACTTTAATAAATCTGATTAAATATTATTTTATATAATTATAAATTGAAATAATTGTTCAAATATATTTAGACAATATCCTTAGATATCTAAGCTTACTCAATAACTGAATCAATACAAAGTTTTGATAAAATAAATATAGTTAACCACTTATATAATCACACTTCTTAAAACCAAAAAATAATATCTAAAATAAATTTTTTTAATTAAGATTGCTTTAGATTTCTATTTCCTCATAATATTATATTATATTTAAAAGTAAATTTTTAATAAGATTGTTAATGTTAATGATAAACTTTCAGATTATAAATAAATAATTTTATTATGTAAAAAATACTAATTAAAGAAATTTAGAAGGGCATAGCTAAATGTAAAAATAGAATGTTGATCAGTTCGTCCAATATAATGATCCACTAAATTTACACGTTCAAAACATAACGTTTTTTTATTACTTTTTGTAATGAAAGAAATTGACCATCAGAACGCGAATAACTCTCCTAATGAAAATGAAAGTAGTAAAGAAGCTGCGATAAACGTAGGAACTGCGCAGAATAAAGATTCTGAAAGAAGCGCAGGTCCTAACTTAGAAGCAAATAATAACGATAAAGTTCGTGAAATATTGGGTCAACAAAAATTGACACCGGAACAAAGGGAAAGAAAAAGGAGAGAGCTAATTGAAAAACAGAAGGAAGCTCGTCAACGAGCCGCAGAAGCAAGGTTAAGAATACCAAATGAGAATGAGGGAGGTAGTGCTATTGTTGTTAATACCAATACTACACAACAGTTTGAACCAAGAGAAGATATGATACTACAAGCAGTCACATTCTTATCTAGCCCAATAGTACGTAATTCTGATGAGGACAAAAAGTTCAAATTTTTGTTAAGTAAAGGTTTGACACAAGCAGAAATTGATATTGCCAAAGATAGGGTAAATAAGGAGGTAAGTAGTTGCTAATTAAATTTAAATTTTTTCGTTCAATTTCGTAAAACAGAGAATCTATGTCTTTAAATATCATAGGAAACATTAGCTCCACCTGTTCCACCACGCACATATCAAATGGCTGTGGCAAGGACTCCATTATGGAAGCGCCTAATATTTATTCTACTGATTACAGGTGCTTTTAGTGCCGCAATGATCGCAATGATCAAGGTATTTGTAGTTCTTTTTTTTTTTTTTTATATTTATTATTTACGAATTTAAATACTAATTCTACATTTAATTAGACATTTCTTGGTCCCGCAGTTACGGCTATTATTTTTGCAAAGCAACAATTATATTCTCATCAAGTTAATCTTTTTAGAAGGTTTAATGAAACTCTTTCGACATTTTTATCTTTAAATAAGTCAACGTCGCGTAGTAAACCTGTTGAGCGAAGAAATTTTACTGATGATGATGATGAATCACCTACACCATATGATATAGATGAAATTTCTACACCACCTGCTTTACTCGCTCCTCTTGCTACTGATTTATCTGGATTAACTGAAAGGTTAAGTATCCATCAACAAACCTTATCAAAATGTGATGCGATATCAGATCTACAACTTTCGTTGTCATCTTTAGCGGCGTATCTTTCGGCAAATGTTTATTCATATTCTAGGTCACCACCAAATGACCGTGATTCACCTGTTTCGCAAGTTAGAAGCGAAATTCGTAGTTTGAAAAGTTTGTTGGTTAATCGTAGGAATTTTCCAAAAATTCCACCTGTGCCCGTGTATTCAGCTCAATCACAAATAACTTCATCTCAACCTTCACAACAAGAAGTAAATATTTCAAATGAAAATGTGGAATAAACATTAAACATCATATTTTTTTTTATTTTATGTTATATCAAAAGCCATACAAATGTTTTAGTTTACATTCGTATGTTGTTATGTTAGCAATTATTTCAATCTTTTGTAATATATTTTTTAGTTGTACAATATTTACTTTAGTATTAAACATTTATAAATAAACAATAAATAACATGTATCTTATCTTTGATTTGACTTTGACTGATTATAAATTACTAGTTTAGAATAAATAAAAATACAATAGGTATTAAACTAACGTATAGAAAATGTTGAATAAATGAATCGAAACATAAAGTTTATTAAGTACCATCGAAAAAATTGGGCAAAAGAATAAATCTTGAACCCTTATAACTAACATTTAATCTATATTGAAATCTTCTTCGTCAGGATCTGGACCAGCAGGTAAAAATTCATCATTTGGACACATCTTTTCAAAAAGTTGCTTTGCTTGAATTGTTGCTGCTTCGAAATCCAATGACGAATCAGGATCACTAGTAACAATGATGTTGTTTGGCAGTGATGATGAAAGTGAAGTAATATCCCGATAATTATGTCGATAAAATAACGCAAACAAAGGATTTGGTTTGCAAGATGATAATGAAGCATCTAAAAAGGAAATGAAAATCAATTATAAAATACAAGTAAAGATAATGATTTGTTTTCCAAGTTTTGTTTTTAAGTGATTAATTTTGTTTACCATTATTTGAAAGATTAACTAATTTCTCCAATGCATTGTGTAAATCTGCTTTGGCGCTATCGCCATAAGCTTTTGTGGACATATATAAAACATCTATAAATGAAACAATAGATTGATTTAATAAAATGATTCGAAATTATAATTAAATACTTTCTAATTGTAATTAACTAACATTTATCTTCAGGGCAAGTTTGTGTCCCAGCTGAAAATTGGAGAACACTAATCGGATATTCATTACCCACAGAATCTGGTGGAAATATGGTAAGTGTAGCATCGCCTTCCTCGTGAATATATTGATCTATGATCACTATCGCACGAGAGGTTTGATCACTACAATACTTGTCGATTAATCCCTTAAAATGATTTGATGATGAATTAAGCATAATATATTTATAACGTACCACTCTTTATGTTCCTGCAATATATTTTCGGGTATGTAATCAATAGCTGTAACTAAGAATGTGGAAGAAAGTTGTTGACCATTCGCATCGATAAGTCCAGTGAAATTATTTGAACTCTTGTCAATTAAAAGGTGTCTTACGGAATGATTTAACATGTATATTCCACCGAATACAGCTGAAATCCTATAGATAAAAAAAAAAAAATTATGCAATTCGAACATTTGATATAAAATCAATCACGTTAAAAAAAGTTATGAAATTTACAACATTACCTACAGAATCCTTGAGCAATTTCATTTCCAGCGCCATATAAGGCCACCAAAAAAGCAGCATTGCCGTAACGACCAAGAGATTTTAAATATCTTTGAGTATATGTCAAACCTTGCCTAGTATTTACTTTACATATCATGAACATGACGAGAATGATTAATTATTATAGAAGAGGCTGACCGTGGTATAAAAAGCGTTATTATCTACAAACCATTATTCACATTGGTTCGAACTAGAGCGATTGCATATAATACTGCTGACAACAATTTACCATCAATCTGGAACTTTTCTTTTAGAAATATGTCATAAGACGTTTCTTCATAACCTATTAATTTCATTTAGAAAAATTACTCAACACTATACGTAAACTGTTTTTTATATATTAAAAAAAAAAAGATTATAGATAACCTTCAAACTTTTCTGGGGATTTAGTATAATCTAAAGCAAATGTTAAAAATCTCATCAATTTTCTTTTATCAACCAAAGATACTGTTTGACTTGTAAATACATCTTCCTTTGAACATGGGACCTATAAGGTATGAAAACGTATAATCCTTCATTATTAATCAATCGAGTAGCAAAAAATAAGATCAACTGATCATAAAATAAAACCTTATCATATTTATCCTGATCTGAATATATGTAAGTCCTATCCAAAGCTTTGAATTCTAAATATCTTCCCACACCGGAACTTATTAATAATTCAATTAATTCACCACGACACGGCATTATTTTTGGTGCTAAATCCAAATTATATCGCCTTGATTCTTTAAGCAATGTTGCCAGGGTTTCAATTCTTTCAAAATTAGATAGACTTGTAGAAACATGACGTATTGTCTCTTCTGATATATTTTCATCGTCCTTGTGAAGGTGAAGAAGATGTGCAAGACGCGTAGATTCAATTACAATAGCTTCCTCATTTTCACGTGTTCGATCGAGAATTTTGGATTTGAATTGTTCCGTTATTACTTTAGCAATAGCTTCACTTTGTTCATATTCTTCAGAAGTTAGCAAAAATCTCGCCAAAGCGTCATAATCTAGCGCAGTCTTTGCAGAATCATCAGTTTGTTCTTCCCCAAATTCGGATCCTTCATTTTCTTCAGCATGTTTTAGATTGGCATATATCACATATTCAATTGTTGAATAAGCTTGATGTCGAACTTTGGACAAGTTGATTGGTAAGGCTTTCTTGCCTTCAAAATCTGCTAAGAATGGCATTAATATTTCAAATTACCAATTTATTCTTGAATCGATTATTAAGCATATCAGATTGAATGTTATTTTAATTAATAAAATTACTTTCTTGACTGTTTCCATTTGATTCTTCTACACGACCTATATTAATGCAATGATATTTAAAATGTTAATAAATATTTTTTAATGAAGACTTAACAAATTGTTGGCTAAATAATATGAAAGGGTAACCTTGCAAAAGCTGCGCCCAATCTAACAATTCTTGAAAATTAAACGAGGTCCAACTACCACCATAATATTCATTTGAATCCAAATGCAACACGGATTTACCGATTCTCGCTAAAGCTCTGTCTCATATATTAGTTCACGTAGAAAAATGAAAAAAAGAAGGAAAAAAAAAAAGACAACAATTATAAACACTGAAGAAAAATGCATACCCTGCAAGAATTGATTCGACAAAACCAGTGCCAAGTATGATAACATCATACTCGGCTACTTCCAACGGTTGAGGCATTTTCTTTTTCTTTTTTTTTTTTTTTTTTTTGTGTTTTGAGAAAATCTAACTTTTAGTCGAAGTCGGAACGAAAATTTGGCTATAGGATTTGATCGGAAATCAAACTAATTTTTCCACGTTGCAGAATTAGGAAGTTATTTCCGACTTGCTGGGACTAAATTAAAAATTAAGGTTTGTTTGTTACACGTAGCAGATTTTGGATCTCTGACATATGTCATAGTGCATAGTAGATCAAGTAGAAAAGCAGAATCGCAAAGTTTTCTTGACAGAAGAAATGTCTAGTAATCCGACTGTAACTCTGTAAGATTTCGTCTTATTATTTTAAGTAACAATCTAGTTTAGAATATATAATTGATACTTTTTTAATAATTCTTATACTTTCTTTCACAACCTAGATATCCATTAGGTAGATGAATCACGAATTTATAACCATTGCTTTTCTTATCAAGCTGATATTTCATAATCTTATTTTAGTGAACTATACGTTTGGCACGAAAGAAGCACAACCAGAGGAAGATCCTTCAGTAGCAGCGCGTTTACAGCGATTACAAAATGATTACGAGATGACTGGCATGCGAAGGACCGTAGAAGGTGTGCTTGTGGTTCACGAACATAATCATCCCCATGTGCTGATGTTACAAATCGCCAACTCTTTTTTTAAATTGTAAGTCTCCACGTAATTCATTATAATGTTTAAGGAAATAATTATGCTTTATTCTTATTCTTATTCTATTTTCTTTAGGCCTGGTGATTATCTTAAACCGGGAGAAGATGAGATTGAAGGACTTCAAGCCAGATTGGACGAGCGGTTAGCTCCAGTTACTAGCACATATAATAGCAATAATACTTCAAGTCATCAGGATTGGCAAATCGGCGAGTGTCTAAGTGTTTGGTGGCGACCAAATTTTGAAACTTTCATGGTATTTAATTTATAAAGAAAATTTTTTTTTATTTTTTTTTTTATTAGGACCTAATTTTTTCGATTGTAATTCCAAATTGTTTGTTTAGTATCCGTATATACCAGCACACGTTACAAAACCCAAAGAACAGAAGAAGATATTTTTAGTTCACCTTCCAGAACAGAGTATGATTTCTAAGATTTGTGATTTCGATGCGTTTCCAAACTTTAGCTTCTAATCTTGACTTTAAATTATTAGAAATATTATCTGTTCCTAAGAATATGAAGTTACTTGCGGTGCCACTTTTCGAATTGTATGATAACGCGCAACGTTATGGACCTCAATTATCTGCAATTCCACATTTGTTGAGCAGATTTAACTTCATTTATGAAAAATAAATACACTCAACTGTGACAATAAAAGCCAATTAATTAAAAAGTATTACAATGGACATCATAAATTTTTTTTTAGTTGGTATGTTTAAATTTCTAATATAGATTTAATTATTGATCTTTATTAACTAGAAATATTTTTCATTTGCAGAATGATTGTTGTTAGAATTTACAAATCCAATTGTTTTTGTCGGCTAAAAGAAATAGAGATAGAAATATAAATATTACTCTCGAAATACGCGTAATTCGCGTGGTTTGAAATAAATATCATATTAATAATTCCTAGTTATATGAATCATTCTGTCGTCTTCTTGTTTCTTATCTGTTGTATTTGCGACCTTCCCTGATTCTTGCGATTTTTTTGATTTCTTCCTTTTCCTCTTTTTCTTTTTCTGCCGATCATCATTATCTATTGAAGTTTTTTTGTCCTCATTATTTATTTCTTTATTCAAATCAGTATGATCATCATCACGCGCTCGCTTTTTGTTGGTTGGCTCCTGATTACACGTAAAGGTACGTCTCTCAGATGATTAATTAGAGATCACGAATAATCTTTTTACTTTGTTTTTTTAAAAATAAATAAAAAATTTTAAAAAGTTCATACTTTTATTTGTTCAATTTCATTTTTAGCCTTTTGAGGTATAACCTTTATCCTTTTCTTCTTACAGCTCAGAGGATTAGGTTGTTTCGGTCCTTTACGTTTCTTTTTTGTCTTCTCTACTCCAGCTTGTATTTTTGCTGTATCAGAATTAGTTTTTGTTAAAAAGGATAATTCCTCGGTCGACATGTAAGTTTTTGCATTCTCGACCTTTAACAAAAACCAGAAGTTATAATTTTCAAGTTATAATTTTTATATTAAAGAAATATATGACCGAACCTGTTTGGCCTTTTGTAATGTGGCGTAAGAAGGTGGCTCAATAATTAATACGGATCTATTGATATACAATAATGGGACGCCAGGAATGGCGCGAAATCGTTCACGAAGCGATCCATCTTGTGTGGCCACACAGTAATTATGAGGATTGTCGGTTTCTATATAAATTTATTAAATATTTTAATTTTCATAACCCTTATCTTTTTTTATAAACCGAGGAACTTTTAAAGTTCATTCAATTGTTTACCTATAATTGATGCAATACATTCGGCACTCGAGACAGGGTTATGTCTATGTATACATCCTCTTCGCTCGAAATTACTTAACGCTGCAACTGTGCCAAGTTCATCCTTGCCAAGTTTTTTTATTTCAGCCATTGTACAAGAAGTGTACACTATTATTGTTGAGTGAAATCATGTTAAGAAATTTTACAAACAAGAAAATAGTTAATTATTCTTAACGAACGAATAAAAAAAAAAACAAATACTTTGCTTTGTATTTCCGAGCATTACTATAGAGAGCTGTCTAGAAAGTTCCATTTTGTATCGTAAGGCAGTTTGCACGAAGTTACCGTCAACTTTATTGACGAAGAAGATAATGTTAGCAATTTGTGAAAAAGTTATTATAAAACGAAACGATTTCCTTCAACAACCTAGTATTTGGTAAGGTTCCCTAAAACCAAACGAAGCGGAATATAACGCCATAAGGCGTTTGTATTGCTTCGTTCGTTTCGGTCGCATTTTTTATAAATTATCAAAATAAAATCTATAATCAAAAAAAAAAAATCGAAATCAAAAAAGAAAATAAATTGTAAGTTGCACAAACATGGGTAATTCATTGACTAAAATTAAATACAATGCATGCATGACGTTTTGACATATATTTGATTTTGAAATGCTCTTCTCACTCTTAGTCTAATATATTTAACAAAACTGTATATCATCATTTTTTTTGAAAATGTCTTCGATAGATAGTAATTTGCCAATGGAATTCGATATTGATGCTGAAGATCAAACTTATAGCATTGATAAAGGCAAAGGAAAAGAAATTGAAACACCAGAACCCGTAAAAGAAGAACCTCCTTTACCAGAATCAGTCGAAGAAGACAACACAGATTCTAGTGAAGAGGAGGAGTCAACGGATCTACCACTTTCTAAAAGAGGGGAAGAATTTATAAGAAAGGATCGTACTTTATTGGAATTTCTTCCAATATTAAATAGCTTCGAACCTCTTGTAAGGATAAATAACAACCCGTTTAGAAACAAAACTTTTTGTAATACTTTCTAATACATTTTATTTTTTATTTTAAGATTCCTGACCACGTATCGGAATATTATCTTTCCAGGTCTGGAGCCTCTTGTGATGATATTCGAGTGTTAGTATATTTTTGATATTTATAAAAACAACAAATCATATTCATCAGGCCATATATATATATATTTTTTTTTACACAATTTTTTTTAATCTATATCAAAAAAAAAAAAATTATTACAAAGAATGCGTCTTATGTCACTAGCCGCTCAAAAATTTGTCGCCGACATTGCAACAGATGCCTTTCAATATTGTAAAATTCGTCAACAAAGTAAAAAAAATGTTGGAAAGGTAATTTTTTATTTAAATATTTCTTAATTCAAAAAGGAAAGGAAGATTTTTAGGATTAAACAAAAAATTTTTCAAAATTTTTTATAGCAACGTAACAAGACCGTCCTCAACCTGGAGGATCTTGCTGCTGCGCTTTCTGAATATGGTATAAATGTTAAGAAGCCGGATTATTACCGTGCTTGATAACATTATCAGGTAAAGAATTAGGTATAGAAATCTCTTATTGATCATCCCATAGAATAATATTTTATACATAATCATTAAAAAAAAAAAAGTTTCCCGGCCAGAATTAAGGGACTCGAGCAAAGTTCCATGCCGATCATATCAGCCAAAACTATCTATAATGCCAAGCGCAATATATAATAAAAAGCTTTTTTTATTAAAAAAAAACGTGAGAAAAAAAAAAAACTGATTAAATCAAATTGTATATAAACCCGAATTTTTTTTTTTTAAAAAAAAAAAAATTATATATATATAAAAAAAATTATTCACACGATTAAAACCATGGGTTTTGAAGCAACTCCAAATTCTTCAGAAGTAACAGCTCGCCAATTAATAGAAAAGAAAGACGCCATTGAAAATGAATTGAAAGAATTAGAACAAGTATTAAAGGGAGTAAATATACCAGAATTAATTTTTTGCTTTAATAATGATTTCTTGCCAACTCGTTCAAAATATTAACATATAAACCGATTTATTATCCTATTAGCAAGGTGTCGGAATGATAGAACCTTTAGTTGATAAGTCAGGATTTCCACGTGATGATATTGATCTAGTTACCGTTAGAACCGCTCGTTCAAGAATAATTTGCAAGTAAAATTTTGACGAAATAAAAATTTCCGTATCTACAATTAACGATACCATACTTTTTGGTGAATAGCATTACGAAACGATCATAAAGATATAATGAAACAGATTGAAGAAGCTCTTCACGCAATGCATGCAGAAAATCAAGCAAAAAAGGCTGCTGCGAAAAATAAATCGGTTGAAACAGGTGAAGTTAGATTATATATATATATTTTTTAATAAAAATAAAATAAAAAAAGAAAACTAGATTGATTTATTTATATTTTTATAGGTCTAAATCGGCCAAAACCTTTTGCTATCGTAAATGCAGTAGCACCCGATTCACCAGCAAAAGAAGCAGTTAGTAAGATCTGAATTTCGTACAATTATTTTTCAATTTGAGTCATGGTCTAAGTTTTTTATCATGAAATAGGGATTATTTAAAGGGGATAAGATTACGCGATTTGGTTCAATCCACGTCGGAAATCATCAAAAATTACAAGCCCTAAACACATTGGTCACAGATCATGAAGGGGTAAGTAATGTCATTATGAACATTTTTTTTCCTACGAGATATTGAGTAAAAAATATGTAATGTTCAATCCTTTTTATAGAAAAACATTAGTGTAACAATTGAACGCGGAGAAGTTGATTCCGAGGAAGTTTTGGTGTTACAATTAACGCCGAGACGCGGATGGGGCGGAAGAGGGCTCTTGGGGTATGTTAGCTAAATGAAATGATCATCTTCAAATATTCAAAGACTAATTTCTTTTTTTCTTTTTGTAGCTGTCATATTATACCTTTATAAGTTGAATTAAATTAATTATTAGTTTTCTTATTATTACAATTTATTTCATAGATAATCTTAGTATGCGTTATTCTCAAAATAACGCGAGGTGCGATACAGATTAATCAATGTTTATTTCTAACTAAAAAAAAAAAAAAAGAAAAACTTTACGTAGAAAATGAAATAAAAAATGGCTACTAAAGAAAAAAGCCTACATGCAGATGGAAAATGCAAAAAGTCCATTTAACATTTACTAAATTAAATACAATTAAAAATATGCAATGTTCTTTCTTATTTAACAAATGAAATCAAATATTAATATCATATTGTCGCTTGAAACTCAACATACCCATGTTGGAAAATTGGTGAAGCAAACAGCATTATCTGTTCAGCCGTCTTACCCTATGATTATCAACTGTTTCCAACGGATCTGACCTTGTTAGGGACTAAGCCACAACATAATAATTTAACAATTACAAGCTTCGTCATCCTGTTTATATTCCGTTTGGCGTGACACATTAATATTATTGCTGGGTAAAGGCCTTTTCTGCCATAAACTTGGTGTTTCAAGAATCTATAAGGTACACATATATGTATTTATATTTAAAATCATATTTGTGTCTTGAAAGTAAAGAAAATTCGGTGTGACCTTTACCTTTCTAACAAGTTCTTCAAAAGCTTCTTTGACCCCATATCTAGTTTTGGCACTACACTCTAGAAATAATGTGTGAGATTTTCGTGCGTATCCCTCAGCCTCCTTGCGCGAAATCACACGTTGTTCTTCCTTTATTATCAACAGAATATCATAATATGAGTTAATAATTAATTATAAAGGATTGAAAAATGAAAAAAAAAAAGAATTATAAACACATACTTTATCAACTTTATTACCAACTATCATTTTCACAACCTCTTTATTTGTGCAATAAGTGCTCAATTCGTTAAACCAGTTATCAAGCTGATCGAACGTTTCACGATTGCTCACATCATAAACTGTTGTAATAAACACGAGTAAAAAAACAAAAGGCCTTCACATGTTGAATTCGAGAAATCAAAATGAGGGGAAGGAGATGAAAGTATAAAATACCAAGAATGACGCCTTGAGCACCATGATAATAAGAGGATGTTAACGTCCGAAACCGTTCTTGACCTGCGGTATCCTGTTATTAGTTAATGTTGATAAATTTTGAAATTTGCTTTTATTAATTGATAAAAAAAAATAAATATGATATATCATAAGTGAAAAGGTACGTACCCAGATAGTTAATTTGTATTTTTTTCCTTCAAACATCATGTCTTGAACTTTAAAATCTACTCCTGAAAAAAAAAAAAAACCATAATTTTTTTTAAAAAAAGAATAATATAATTGCATTAGAAAAAAGTAAATTTCAAAAGGGTAACGAAATAAAACAATTTCAGGCTTATGACTCTACAATAGTTGTTTTAAGAAAGGTCCAAGAGGCTGGTTGCTTTACCAATTGTAGCTGCGACTTCATCCTGTGGCAAGAAAGTGTCCTCAGTAAAACGCAAAAGTAAAGACGATTTTCCAACATTTGAGTTACCAATGAGAAGGATCTTGAGTGTTGCTTCATAACCGTCAATTCCAGCCATATTAGCCATATTGAATTTATTAATAAACTTTCAGTTTAAAATTAAACTGTGACGGTGAAGAAAAACAGTAATGGTATCTTATTATTTATTATTTATTATAAATTGAAAAAGATATCGGAATTAATTGTATAATCAATGACCATATTATATCTTTTCAAGATAAAATTTGATTCGTCATAAATTTACGATTTTCCAACTTAAATTATTTATATATATACAAAATCGATCGTCACCAAGTAACGATTTCCAGGGGTTACGGAAAATTGAATAGCCAATCGAAAATTTTCGCGTTCAACTCCACGTTTGTATAACGTCTAAACTTCGTTAATTATTCAAATTTCATCCTAAAGTTACGTAATTATTCGTAAACATTTGACATCATGTCAAAAAAAGTAATATTACAAGGGGGTGAAATCATTACTTTAGTGTTTTTATTTTGAGATTTACATAACGATTGCAATCCTTTTGTTGCCATCTGTTTTGCCAACTATGATATAGAATATTTGCTTTGCAAAAAGATTTGAAATGGCCAGAATGAAAAAGATTTCTTCACATGATCACAATGAATAACTAAATCAATCAAAGAACATCTCGTCGACTTAAAAATTGGGTTCGTATTACTCTTACATATTTATGAGACTAAACTTGGCCAATCCAGTTTTAACACATAGTACAATTACTAGAAATGGTCAAACTCAAAATTACACTCATTTATTGAGATATTTTAGAATCAATTAAAACTTCATGATTTGGTGTATGATGATATTGTATTTAGTGGTGGGTACTTTTTATTTACAGAATCTAATCTCATGATCTGCGCTGAGAAATAAATGTAACGTACCCGAATTCTTGGGTAACCGATTAATCGGGATACTATACCAAATACCAAATTTCATCATAAGGTGTTAATAAAATAAGCTCTCAACTTACCTAAACAACTTGTCTAATTGTCCATGCAATCGTGAAGAGCAAACGTAAAAAACAGTTTGCCTTGACACTATCTTTTTTTCAATGTCTCTGCTGAATGATCCAGAGTGAGTGAGATTATTCGCCTGTGTAAATGATCGGTTTAACTTCTTAAAGCACCATTTACTAATGTGGCCAGTCAATTCAAAGTTATATTATCCACCAACTCCGTATTGGTTATCTCCGTCGTGTTGGAGATCGTTTTGGCGAACGCGTTATAACTTTCAACCCTACCGTTCTTTCAAATGACTATATTAAGACTGCTGCATCTTCCTACCCAGAGATGTTAGCTTGCCATTCTCCGAACATTAGTATGTTGGGAAATGATTATTTTAGTAGCAAGAGCATAGTGGGTGGTGCCGCTAGTTCACCATTATCTGGTGATCGGCATAAAACAATGAACCACTCAAATAGGAATATGGACACAAATTTAACGCAAGTTTCCAAAGAAGATTCAAGTTTTAATAACGAAAATGGTGATAGTGATGAAGATATCGATGTTGACGACGAAGATAGTAGGTAAGCTTGGACCGATTATTTTAACAACGTGATTATTATAAGATTATCTTTCGATGATAGACAGTACTTCCTCTTAATATATATATATATATCTATCTATGTTTTATTTATTTAAAATATTTACAAATATAAATATATACATATTTATTTGCAAACAAAAAAAAAAATTAATTATAACGAATTTTCAAATATATTTAATTTTATAGTAAACAACAACAACCTTTGTTTACCAAACTACGTTTACCCAAGCAAATTGTAGCACCCCCACCAGTGTTTGTAACTTCACCCTCAAAACCACCGACTTCACGTCCAAGTTTAGTAGCTCAATCATTTTCACCTGGTGGTGATGCATTGAAAACTTCACCAGATAGTATACTTGGAATTTCATCTACTGAACAAACGCCACAATTATCACCGACTACATCAGCCGAAAGTGACAGAGTTCTTGCCGCTGAAAGAAGGGGCTCGGAAGCATCATTGTTAACAACTGATGGTACAGATATACCGTCTAGTC